CTCCTGCATATGAATCAGGACCCAATTTTCAGTGCAAGCCCCAGCTTTTCCCGGGTGGTCAACCTCCAATTATTGATTGATGGTACACATACAAGCCTGATTGAAAAGATATTTTTGGGAACGATGTAGGAGTTGAGAGGAAATCACTTAGGCAGATAGTGAGGGTGTGGGAGTCCTTGGTAAGGCTTTTACTCTTTAATGAAAAGCAGCCTCAAATCATTTTCTAACAAAGAGCAGCGTGGAAAGTCGAGCTGCAGACATGGACAAGCAAGCTGGGAGCTTGCATGGGTGAGTGCCTGCAGTAACTAGGGACTAGATATGTTCAAGATGGCCTCTCCATCTTCCCTTCTCTGTCAGCCACATGTTCAGGAAGGAGCAGACAAGATGGCGCAGGCCTAGGGGAGAGTTCACTTGCATAAGGGTGGGGCAACCAACCTTCACATCCGCCCCCACCCCCATGTAAATGTCACACCTGATGGAAACAATCTGTGAGCCCTACGTACATCAGACACTGCCTCCTCAAGCTGGACTATAAAATCTGGTGCATCCGCTGCCAGCAGGTCTTTTCTGCTTGGAAGACCCCTCTCTCTGTAGAGAGGGAGCTGTTTTTCTTTCTCTTTTCTTCTGCCTACTAAACCTCCACTCCTAAACTCCTCATGTGTGTTCCCGTCCTAAATTTTCCTGGTGTGAGAGGACTGAGAGAACGAACCCTGTGTATTTACGCCAGACAACGTAGCTGCTTCAGGAGGACCCTTCAAAAACTACTCGGTTAATCTATTTCTTCAGATAGTCTAATCCCTGATTTGAATCAGTTTGGGCCCCTGATAAATTTCCTTCACTAAGCCATGCTTCCCTGCCTGCTCTGTCCTTGGTTTTACTCAAGGAGAACCCATGTAACGGACCAAGTTTGTTTCCCGACGTGCATCAAGGCAATACACCAAGTTACCCAGTTGCAGCTGACAAAGAGGTTTCATGGTAAAGCAACCAAATGAGGAGACAGAAGGAAACCTCAATTCCATCTCCCCAAGGAGTTTGGAAGTAGGGATTTTCAGGGGTTTGGATGAATAGTGGGCCGAGGTGTGGGGATCCTTGACTGGTCAAAGAGCATAGGGTGGAGTCATGAGACAAGGAGCCGAAGAAACCTCATTCTCATCCTGACTGGGCTTCTCTGCAGGGGTCTTCATATTCGGGGGGGCTCCTCTGGGGGGTTCTTCATGCTGGTTAGTATCAGCCATTCCACTGGAATTCAGGATCTGAAAAACATATTAAGCAATTGTTAAACAGAAACTTTGTGATTCCAGCATCAGAAATTCCATCTATAGGAATAACATGGATCCAAGTGGTCAGTCTTTTGACTGTGCCGTCCTTTAAAAGGAATCCAAAAGTCTGCATGACTTTTGGTAGCAATCAGCTACAAGGAAATGGGTGCAAGTATAGCCAGATTAATGCTTAATTCTATTTCTGTCTAGAACTTGGCATGTAATTCTTGTCAACTCGGCGAGAGTGGTTTTTACCCCGACATGGGTCTATTCCAGCATTTGATGTGGAAATGCTGTGGAGGGCAGATGGCAAGCAGGTGGCCGCTACTTTCCCTGTGAAGCATGCAGGGATCATAGGCATCCTTGGTGGACTCAGTAGGAGGGAACCCTCCCCTTGAAGGACTAGCCCCTTTATCTCTAACAGAAGCTGTGTCCCACCTCTGCCTGACTGCCAGGAAAGCTCAAATGGACACTGGCCCAAACTCTGCCTCCTCTGTAAACCGTTACTTTGGTACTTGTCTAATTTGTTGGTGGTTTTTTTTTGTTTTGAATATTATTTTATTTAAAAATTATTGCACATTTTCTGGCAAGTTGTTTTTCAAAACCTTGTAAGTGGGTGAGGATATCAGTCACTTAAACACTCCAAGAATATTGAAGAGGGACTTCTAGGACAGAATAGAAAAATGATTACCAAGTTTCCTTTCAGCCCAGAGGTTCCACAATGCAGTAACTTGATTATCTTGGGCTGAAACGCCTTCCCTTTCCCACTGGCTCTGCTGAAAATATTTGTGCCTTCAAGGTAGGTCTTGACAACTAACGACCGCCCAAGATTTTCTTCATAATTTATGAGTGATAATAAATGTGCCTGCCGCCTCACTGTTGGTGTTCTTTCAAATGGCAAGCGTAGACATGAAAACCTGATGACTCATGAAAATGAAATGTCCCAGCGTGGCAGGTGAATTTCCACACTGCCGTAGCTCCGTGCTGTTGGTTAAAAAGACAAAGACCCACAAGATTTCTCAGGAGGGGCAGCAGGATGCAGCCGGCACACACCTCTGAGAAGCCGGTTATAGAGCTGCCTTTCCAGCCCATTTCCCCAACATTGCTTTCTGCTGTGCCCCTCTCCACGCTTCCCACTCCTCATTCACTAAGATCAGTCTCTTGACTGTGCTGTCCTTCAAAAGGAATCCGAAGTGTAGATGGAAAAGGCGGCACCTGGTGAGAAGTAGCAACAGGATTTATAGAATCTGTACCTAAAAGATGCCTCTGTCCAGAAAGGGGGCGGCCACTCTCAGGAATCATCCTCAAACTGAATGTAGGCCATCAAGGACCTCAGGGAGCACAAGTTAATTGAAATGAAATCGATCCTGCCAGGGCTTTAATGAAGATGTTGAGAAGCCTGCTGGCAGCTGGGACCTAGCAGGCCAGTGAAGCTGCGATGGACAGTTCCTGGATTAAAAAGGGGCAGGAGGAACAGACTGAGGGAGCCACTATGCTAAATGTACCTGCCACTGAGCACTTCCATTCCCAGCCTCCACCTGTCGGACACTCACTCCCAGGGCAGCAAACAATAGACACAGAGACTGGGGGCCTGTGGCTGCTTCTGTTGCTCCAGTTGAGCATTTTACAGTGGAGTGAGGGTTTGATCTTATGTCCTAAGGGGTGATCCTTCTGCTGAAACTGCTAAGGAAAAGTAGTCCTTTTCTTTTAACACAGGACTGTGGAGTTTTCTGACAAAAGAATAATTCCACTCTTGCTGCCTAAAATCCATTGTCAGGAGCAGAACATCCACAGAGTTGGCAGCATGTGGGTTACTACTCTCTGCTCTGAACACTGCAGACCCCCAGCTGCCCCTCCAGGTCGTTCTTTCTCCAAGAGCAGAGCGCTCTCGGAGAAATGCAGATCTAATCCCATCTCTCTATGTGAAGCCCTTTAGGACTCTCAGAACAGGGTTCAAGTTCCTTAGTGGGGCCAACCAGGCAGTATCTCTTTCTCCCTCCAGCATATCTAACAACACACTCCTCTTTCCCCTTCACATCCCAGAGTCATGCCTCTCACCTTTCCTGGGGCATCCAAGCACAAAGCCTTTCTCCACCTCCCCCTCTTCCAGGACATGTTGAAATCCTCCTCCAGGCCCAGATCTTAAATGCCACTGTTCCTGCTCTTCTGCCACTTGCTCTGTCTTTGTTCTGGGCATTCTCACCAGGTTTCCCATCTTACTCAGTGCCCAGAAGAGCGCTTGACATGGTTGAAAAGTGGCTGTTGCATATTGGCTGTTGTATGGATGTAGCTATCACTCACTGTTCTACATCCTGGAATGTGAAATTAGCAGCCAGCTGAATTAAAACCCATTGAGTATGTTTGTATGGACATGAGAACTCGAGGTTAAAAAATGATGAAAATAGGAAAAGTGATGACCTACAACTAGTAGAAATCAGCCGTTTTAGGAGAAAAGTGACTTGCCTTGAGACAGTGAGGAAAGTGAGGAGGCTTTTTCAATAATGTATGTAAGGAATGATAAGGGCTTGAACCTAAACTGAAGCAGAGGGATGGAAATGTGGATTTGAGAGTCGCACAAAAGGCTAGTGAATGGGCTAGGGTGACATGCCATCAGTCAGTGGCTGACTGGGTGACACGTCCCAAGTCATTCAAACCCACTGAGTTTTGGTTGCCTACCTGTGGAGTAAGCATGCCTCGCCCATGAGTATCTGATAAGCTAATACCAGATAAACACCTAGGTATGTGCCTGCCTCATTGTAAACCTTCATTAAGAACTAGGTCAAATGAAATATATATACACACACACACACACACACACACACACACACAAGCATTTAATAAGATATAATGAATAAAATAGCAATAAAAATGAATAAAAGAACAAAAGAATTTGCAAGATGGAGATGGCTTGGGGGTAGGGCATAAAGAAATGAGGGGGTAGACATCAGAGCCACCTGGCTGGTACCTCCCATCAAAGGCTGACTTTTAATATTAGCTCAAGGTGAAAACACCACATGCATGAATGAGCCATAAAAAGCCAGCAGAAAGAACTTCCCTTGCTTAGCAAGTGACACTTCCCACATTGGCCTTTTCTTTTCCTAATTCAGCTCCAATCCCTGGAATGAGTTTTCCATTATTTTAGGTGATCTGGCTAGCTCCTTCTGCTTTTTTTTTTTTTTATTTTTTTGCTGGAGGGGAGTGGAGTGGGGGACACAGTCTTGCTCTGTCGCCCAGGCTAAAGTGCAGTGGCATAATCTCGGCTCACTGCAACCTCCACCTCCCAGGTTTAAGCAATTCTCCTGCCTCAGCCTCCCGAGTAGCTGGGATTACAGGTATGCACCACAATACCTGACTAATTTTTATATTTTTAGTAGGGTTTCACCATCTTATCCAGGCTGGTCTCAAACTCCTGGCCTCAAGTGATCCTCCCGCCTTGCTCTCCCAAAGTGTTGGGATTACAGGGGTGAGCCACCACACCCAGCCTCCTTCTGAGTTTTGAATTTAACTCTCTGCCCCTAGTTTTGCCTGACTCCTGGAATCTTTTAATGAACAGAAGTGATTGCAGAACAATAGATGTTAAAATTCACATGCCAGTAGCTTCCCTGACCTGGTTTTATGTCAGTCTTCCATTCTATCATTTGTGCACGCATCTCCCTTAGATGTATCAAAGTTTTCTTGGGCATCCCAGCCCATTCCCAAAGGATTCGAAGGCAGGCTAGTATGCAAATTTGGACATTTTGGGTAGTTGGTGGTCGGGGTGGGTGTGGAGGAGAATAATTAAAACAACAAATACCAGGCTAATGGATCAGAAGGTCTGGTGAATATGACTGAATAGTTTTGTGTTTATTCCTTGTACATTGTGGTAGAGAAGGTAGACATAGCCCTGGGAAATTCACAGAAGGAGGCAGAAATTTTATGGAAAAAGAAGGAAAAGGGACACTGCATATACAGGAAACAGCAGAGTGTTCCTCTGAATTCCTTCTTGCCAGCTCATGCTATGATTTTGGTTAACACCCTCCTCCCACGGGGATGCATGTGTGAAAACTGAAGATACAAGGATGAATCACTTTCGTCAGACCTAGATGAAATAGGGCCAGGAAGTCCAGAAGGAGAGGAGGTTCGTGCTTACCTTACATGCTTCAGAAAGACAAGGACTTTCTGAAGACCATTTCTCATCCTTTGTGTATCATCTGCTTTGATAAGATTTATTACCAGACATTTTTAATTTTTTTTTTTTACTCTCAAGTGACATTGACAGCACTAGACATCCTTTACGACTGCAGTGATTTAGAAAAGATGTTCTCAGAAGAACACTTTCCCAGTAACAGCATTTCTACCCATGAAATGACGGCAACTCTGCTTTGAACCTCTGGAACCAGTCAAGTGTTTCCAAGCAGCTTAGGTAGGTCTCTTTTTGCTAATGAAAGCTCTCCTTATTCTTCCCTCACTGAATGTGCTGGTGCCTTGCCATTCCGTGCACTCCAGATCATAATCCTTATTTCTGTTTCTGAGTAAATCCAACATAATTAGAGAAAATTTTCTCTAGTACCATTTTTCTTAGGTTAACAAAGTATGGTGGAGAGATCAATAGCTTTGGCATGTATATAAGGTGTCATACCTGACACTGGCTTTCTCATATTATTATATTAGTTGAGCCCTTATCTGTGGTTTTACTTTCCATGGTTTCAGTTAACTGTGGTCAACTGTGGTCTGAAAATACTGTATTAAATTAAAAATTTCAGAAATAATTCTTAAGTTTTAAATTGTGCACTGTTTTGAGTAGTGTGATAAAATTTGGCGTAATCATCCCTTTGTCTATAATATTCACACTGTAGATTCTATCTACTTGCTGGTCACTTAGTAGATGTATTGGTTAGCAGATCCACTGTTGTAGTACCATAGTGCTCATGTTAAAATAACCCTTATTTTACATAAAAATATCTCAAAAGTGCAAGAGCACTGTGTCTATATTAGACATTAAATAACACAGTCCATAAGGCTCAGTACTATCCAGTTTCAGGTATCCACTGAGGGACTTCAAATACATCTCCCAAGAATAAGAGGGGACTACTGTAATTTCTTTTAGGTTCATCCAAATGTTGCAAGTATTAACTCTCTACTCATTGTATCGCTGAATAGTTTTCCATAGTATGGCGTACTGACTTTTTAAAATCATGCATTTGTTAATTAAGGCAGCATTTAAGCAAAGTTCTGTATAGTTGCTATTCTACTTGTCATGAGCTAAAACTATGAAAGTGATAATTACTTTCATAAAAACTTTCCAAAAGCTAAAAATTGTGAACGCGATCTGTCAGAATTGTGTGAGTGATGGTTTATTAATGCTTGACACTTTTTTCCTGACAGGTAACTAGAGACTGGCACAGAGGCACCCATGGCACATGTTGAATAAACGAGTAGTCTATGAGTTTCAGAGCTTTGCATTACATGTGTGCGAGGCTTGGGAGCCTATTCCAGCATTTGAGGATGAGTCAATAAGGGCAGCTAGGTGTCCAGTCACAGTGACTAACCGGAGTAGTCTCTGCTTAATTTCCACATGCTAGGGGCATGAGAAGGCCTAATCAGGCTATCAGATAAAGCAGGAAACCCAGGCCAGAACCAAATACCCAAGAAGCAGAAAGGGGGAAAGGTTGATTGTGTGAAATTGGGGGACACAGGTCAGGATTTGATTTGGAAAGTGGATTGGCAAGTGTTAAGAGGGTTGCCACAGATGGCTGTGCTTGTTATGCTCTGCACAACTCCAAGGGATGCCATTATGGAGCCCCCTAGTGTGCAGTACATGCGCTGTACAGTGACATAAACTGCTTTGAGTAAGAAAGAGGCCTGGTGTCAGATGCCCATCAAAATGGGCTTGATTTGACTGTAAAGTTCTGCTCATTGAAAAGGAAGACAAGGTCCAGAAAACAAGTAGGGGAAGTTGTTCAACACCAAGTAGGGCAAATCTAGGCAAGATCAACCTTCTATGGCTCCAGCCATATTGACCATATTGGCCAAGAATAATCAGGACTCATCCTTTGTGTGTCTTTCTCTTGGGTGCCTCAGCTCAGAGACTTGGAGTTTAGGGGTCTCCTGAACCTGATCCAGGTTTAGAAGTGAGACTTAATTCTAAGTCAAATCTGGGAGCCTGGGCCAAGTGGGAAAGACTAAGGCTTATACACTTAAATCCTGCTTGGGCCAACCAATGGGGCTGGCTTACAGGGAGCTGAGAAAGGCAGAAAATGGTTATACAGGGAAAGTTGAAAGGAAAACAGCTCTGCTGGTCCAGTCTCTTGGGGGTCATGTAAAGGACCTGGAGAACATGGCATTATCACATTACTACGTAATCTTTGTATTATCAAAACATCATTGATCACAAAAAGAATATTTCAAAGGTAAAGCAGGGTTAGGGACTAAAGTCCCAAGACAACAAAGATGCCATCTTCTACAGGAATTTCAGTGATCAGGTGCTTTATAGATGTAAGTGTATTTTGTTATTGTAAATATTGTAAAATATTGTACAATTGTAAAATAGAATTCTGAAACTAATTTATCAATCCTAAAACAAATAAACCCAAAAGATTCCTTCTTTGTCCTTAAGTGTTCTGTCATCTTTGTTGGTGGTGGTGAGATGTGCTGCAGGTGAACTTGGAAGGTTAAAACAAAATGACAAAATGACATTAAAAAGACAAAAATGACAATGAAATCTCAAGGGCAAACAAAAGAACACAGGACTTCTTTTTTCCTACTCTTTCAGCTTTGGTTCCTGGTTCTAATCACGTTAGAACCAATCCTAGTCAAGTCTTAGCAAATCCTCTTATCTAATTCATGAATCTCATTATACCTAATTCATGTTGTAACAACTCCTGCATTGGGAAAAAAATGTCTGAATTAACAAAAATAGAAGGACCATCTGTGACTGTCTGAGCCCACCATCAGTGCCACAGTCCCATGTGACTGGTTTTTGTAGGACGTGTCTTTATCTGTGTGTGCAGAAATCATAAGCCATATTATACCAACAAAAGAAAGCAAACCACTGATGTGACTGTGGTTAGGTGAAAATGTTGCTCAATGCAAGGCTACCCTTGGACTCCTATTGGGGCACACATCTCAGACTAAGGTTATTTTGGTGGTAGCCACGCCAGACCAGCAGAGGGGAGCTCCTCAACTTCCCCTCCCACTTACTGAGTCCTCAGCAGTCTTGCTCTACGTGTCCCCTTCCTGGTCCACTTCTTTCATCCCCACAGCCACCCTAGTTCAGGCCTTTATCAGTGATCACCTGGACTTCATCAAGGGCCTCCTCCCCAGCCCATCCTGCCCATGGCCACATAGGCTGTGTTCAAAGTGAGCTTGCTAATAGGCATTCTGGATGATGCTGCTTGTCAGATTCGTCTTTCAGTTGCTTTAGCTGTCTTCAATATGTGCTTTAAACTTGTCATCTGAGCAAATAAAGGTACTTCAACCTCGTGACTCTCCTCATCCCCACTAGCACCCAAAAACTCCTACGACCCTGAAATAGGAACCATCCTAAATGCCTCTCTCTCTCCCCTCTCTCCCCAACTTCTTTCTTGTGATAACCTTTTCACCTAACATTACTTTACCAAAAATGTTCTTTCACTATGACTAACGAATGACTAAATTCATTCACGAATTCCTCAGGAAAAAACCTTTTCCCAGCCTCCTTGAAGGCTGCCCTCTGTGCCTTTTCTATGCATTTTCATGATGACTGTTATTATATAAATATCCTTCTGTCACAGCAATTCTCAGACTCTTTAATCATCTCTTTTCCAAACTAGGCTGACAGACTCTTCAGCATAGGGAGAGATGGTGTCCAAAGTTCTTTCTACAAACTTTATCACTCAACCTAGAACGTAAGTATGCTAAAATATATCTGTTAAAATGAATGAATGGATTCTCTGAAAGTACTTTATTATTTCAGTAGAAGTTTAGAAAGACCTTTTTTTGGTCTGTTAGAGTGAGATTATAGTACAGGAAAAAGCAAGGCGGGTAAAGACAGATGGAAGCCTCAATAGTTAGACATTTCTGTGCGTAGAATTTTTGAGATGCATTATTCCAATTAATGATAAAAAAGAAATAGAATAAGAGCCAAATTCTTCTTCTGCTTTTAGCCAAATATCCAAAGTTCTTCATCTTAGATGACCTCAAGTTTACTGTGATCTGTTCTCAGCATTTGTAGAAGCTGGGAGTTTTGCTTCATTTTGTTACAGATGAGGTGGCAGGGACAGCTGAGTCTGAGTTTCCTTTTCATGAATTGCTGTCACAAAACATCCAAAATGCCCTTATCTCAATGCCTGGGAGTGTAGGGCCTGACTACCAGCCTAAACTCCTTTCTAAGTGGATAGAAGCCAGCATACTGAAGGAGAGCCAGATTTCCTGAAAACCTTTTGTGTAGTAAAAGGTAACAAAGTCCCCATTACTTGGGGATGAAACTCACAATTATTTATTATTTCTCACAGTCTTGAGGGCTGACAGCCTGGGCAGTTCTTCTGTTGGTATCCCCGGGCTCACACGTGTGCTGTAGTCACTGGTATTGACCAGGCTGGAGGGCCCAAGTTGGCCCCATGGACATGCTGGCAGGTGGTATGGCTGTTGGCCAGGGTACCTCCATGTCCCCAGGTGGCCTCTCATATTCCAGGACGCTGATCCAGGACTCTCCACCACACTGTGGTCTCAGTGTTTCAAGGGAGTTGAAGGTGGGGGCTGTACCCTATCGTGGGGCTCAGGAGCCTACCCAGCTCAATGTCCCCCACTGTCCATTCATTATAGGCAGGCACAGGAATGCCCAGGTTCAGGGGTTGGGAAAGATACTCCTTCTCTCAATAGGAGGCATGGCATTGTAAAGACCCTGCGGCTCATGTGGGGTCCTGAACCAGACAATCTGCCACAGCGCAGACCACATCAGTACAAATAACTTGTATTGATCTAGACTAGTGCCAACTTGAGACTGAGACAAAATTAAAGAGATTCACAGTAACACGGACAGTTGCCATAATGGCAACAGGCTTGGAACAAAGCAGCAGATAAAGAGAAAAGCCCTTGCCTTTGCTCTGCAGCAGGGACTGTTCTGAGACATGTATGTGTAGATGCGCTCACAGGCACTGGTGAGGGAAGACTTGATTTCACCCTGAGCCTGATCCTGAAACATGGTCTGCCCACAGTGCCCCAGGGAAAAGGCTTACCGGAGACAGAACTGTGATGGCAAGTTCAGTGCTGGAATCAGTGAGGCCAAGGCAGAGCTGTGAGGCAATGGGATGAAGAGGGGCAAAGATAACACCTGCAGCTGCCATGAAAGGGAGCATTTCTCTGCATCCACGAATGGAGTCATTGAAGGAGCCCAGGCTGCCTGTATCCTCTGTGGCCACCACTTGTGGGTTCCAGTTCCTCTGAGCTCTCAGTCTGTAAAATGCCATATGCAGAGAACAAGTGCATCTCTGTGTGTAAGGCATCACACAGAAAAAGGTGAAATCTTCCGGATTTTTAGAAGCACTGGGAAACCAGTGGCCCTTAGTCCAAAATCACCTGGTTCTGATGCTTTTGAAATAAGAAGCCTCCCTGGGTATAGAGTGTGCTGCTGGGGTGTGGCATGAGGACCGCTGCCTTTGAATGACTGGTGATCTCACGATGCTTTAACGGGTGGGGAGGTGCAGCTTGCAGAAAGCAGCCCTCTCAGGATGGACTGAGATCATGGGGGAAAGATTATGATATCCCATAAAAGACTGTGGGGTTCCAGAATTGGCTCCTTACTTTCTGTGGTGACACATGGATGTGATGTCTGGACACCTCACTCCTGGAAGAAATATATGAACCTAAGCATGGAGAGTCCACATTGCACAGAAACAAACAGGCAGCAGGCTCATCCTGGGAAACAGGGCCTGCGCAGAGATCGTGCTCCCAACACCAGTAATCCTGTGCTGATGAGTGGGCTGTGGAGGGGTACATGAGCTGTGTAATGGACAGCAGGGGATGACAGGCCCCCCAGACTGATGCATAGGCACAAAGCCCTCCATGCAGGCAGCTCTTGTAAGAGCCCTGGGTGTCAGCATGGAGTTTAGAGAAGCACTGGTGAGGCATAGGTGCGGGGTCCTCTTGCTGCAACCCCAAGACTAGTAAAAGGAGGCAGTCCCTGATGGACAGTCACACATTCCCCAAGCCGAGGGACAGAGCAGAGGTCTCATGGGACTACATATTTTTGGCTCCTGAGCCAGGCAGGGCATTCTCACCCATTATTGTCAGGAGGAGTTGAAAACCTTTGGATGGTGAAAGCTAAAAAGAGCTTTTACTGACAGCTGACTACACTATAAAGACTCAGGAGATTCCTGAGTCTATAACTATGCAGCAGACTCCTGGCGGCAGAGACCTGAACACAGCGGTAACCATAAGACTAAGTTGTGCAGAGTAGAGCTTTCATTTCCAGGAGGTCTACTAATATAGTTTCATATACGCCAGCCATTTCCCTGGACTTGTAGAAAAGCCTTCCAAGTGATATTTATGTTTGAAATTTCAGAACGTGCGGTTTTTGAGACAGTCTCAAAGTGATTAAATAATTGCCATGGAATGAAGAACACCAGCAGCCATGAACATCATCATACAATGAGGGCCTGTTCTAGTCCTTAGCTGATATCCACAGAGCAAACCTTGATTTGGTGACTTCATCACTGAATTTGGGGAATTAACCCATGAGCAGGGTTGGGGGTTTAAGCCACACAGTGTAGGAGACTTAAACACATAGGAGGCATGTATAAACTTCTCCTATATGAAACTTAACTCATATAGGGGATCTAAAAATATACTTTATATCATAGTCTATATGATAAAAATACAGACGCAGATACCACTGATCTATCTGATTCGTATGCTAGGGGGATCTTAATTCTTTGAGTTTTAGTAGTGCTCTGTTAAAAATTTGATTTAAACTGACACCATTAAAAATGATACATGAGTCACCAATAAACACATGAAAAAGTGTTTATTAGTCATTAGGAAAATACAGATTATAATCACAATGAGCTACCACTACACACATACAGACACACACACGAGAATTGTTGAAATTAACACAACAAAAGATTGACAATAGTAAGTGTTGGCTAAAATTTGGAAGAATTGGAACTCAGGCACTTTGAGAAAGTGTTTGGAGGTGTCTTATAAAATTAAACATAAGCTTACTATAAAAGTCACCGGCTCCACTCCCAGGTATTTTACCCAAGAGAAATGAAAGTGTATGCGCACACAGAGTTGTACGAAAATGCTAACAGCAAACAATGCCCATAGCCAAACACTTGGAATAAACTAAGTATCCACTTGTAAGTAAAAATGAACAACTACTGACACAAGCAGCTATACGGATGAATGTCCAAAACATGTTGAGTAAAATAATTCAAACACAAAAGTATATAGACTGTGTGATTGTGTTTATGTGAAATTCTAAGAAAGACAAATTTAAACTATCGTAACAGAAGGCAGCTTTGTGGTTACACAAAACTGGGGGCATGAGTATTGATTGCAAAAAGAGCACAAAGGAATTTTGGATGTGACAGAATACTAGATGCTTTGATTGTGAGGATGACTGCACCGTACATAGATGTGTCAAAACCTATCAAATTCATCTTAAAATGGATGCCTTTTATTGTAGGTACATTTTACCTCAATCAAGTTAGTTTGTAAAGCTCCCTAAAATGTACTTGATTGTATTAAACAAAACTATGATGACATGACTTTGTATCCCTGCACTGTGGTGTCTGATCAATTAGTGAGGGCGACGAATGTGCCCTGCGGCTTCTGTCTCCACTTTTCCTAATCAGGCGTTGAGCTTCCCTCTGTTTGTACTTCATCTCGGCTTCCTGTTCCTCTCAGCCAGAGAGCCACTTTGCTAATGGGATAGGTCTTCTCTGTTAGATGCCAGCAGTGATCAAATAATTCCCCAGCGATTAAATCAAATCCAGTCTCCTTCTGAGTTGAAATATTGATTGTTGCCAGGTTCATTTCTGCTAAGTCCCCAGAAGATCCTGCTCCTGACAAGGAAATGCCATTAGCATTTTTTTTTTCTCCTTTTCAACATAGAGACTTTTTTCCCCCACAGTTGATAGAAATAATGTATTTTTTAATATTAGCCACACATATAGTTGTTCTGTATTGATATATTTTGCCAAATACCAGAAACAATTTTAACAGGACAGAACATGATATTTGGGTCTCTTCATGACAGGCAATGATTTCAGAAAATACTTATTAAATGATTAGAAATACCGTCTCCAATCAATTAGTTAAGTACAAGAGATAAAATTCATCCAGTTGGGTGTGGTGGCTCACACCTGTAATCCCAGCACTTTGGGAGGCCGAGGCAGGTAGTCACCTGAGGTCAGGAGTTTGAGACCAGCCTGGCAAATATGGTAAAACCCCATCTCTACTAAAAATACAAAAATTAGCTGGGCATGATGGCAGGTGCCTGTAGTCCCAGCTACTCGGGAGGCTGAGACAGGAGAATCACTTGAACCTAGGAGACAGAGATGGAGGTTGCAGTGAGCCGAGACTGCACTGCACACTCCTGCACTCCAGCCTGGATGACAACAGTGAGACTCCATCTAAAAAAGAAAAAAATTTAAAAAACTCATCTTTAATGCATCTGATGAAGTATAGGAAATGTTTTGAAGCAGAAATGAACATTTGGGCCATAATAAAATGTCATTTCTCTCCAAAATGTAGATTTCCCCAGGAAGAAAAATGACCTCTCAAAGAAGATTTTATATTCTTCACCATAACTGGAGATCAATGGTGCCTTCTGTGATGATGTCATTTGGGACCAGAAATAGCATCTTTTATTAAATCTTGTCTGAGGTTGACCCATCCTAAA